CCCCCCCCCCCCCCCCCCCCCCCAATTTGGCTGGCTGGCTGGCTTTAAAGGCTAACTTTGCCCTGGATTGGGCAAAATTACCATGGTCTAGGGATTTGTTTACCATTTTGACTTGGGTATAAACCCTCCAGGTCCTGTACCAGATGGGACTTTTAACTTCTGAATTTCTTTAAGCCAGCACAGTAGGCAATGAAATGGGGAAGCCATTGGGCTAAGCTAGTGTTTACCAGCAATGGGGCACATGTACACAAGATGCTTAATGCCCATTGGACTAATTCTACGCATTAGTATGGCTGGCAAAAACTGCTAATGCATGGTAGACTAGTCCAATCAGCATTAAACATCAAAAAAGCATTAACTTGTGCTAGTACTCGGTAGTACCAATTCATGGAGCACTAAGTTAATACCTGTTAATACATGTACTAAACTCCATGCACCATAATTATGGCAGATTAATGAATGTGCCCACTGACTAGTCTGAAAAATGGTAAACTGTTGCCCCAACTGAGATGGATAGGAGCAATGAGTACATCAAAAGGAAGCTTGACTGGTAGATATCTCAAAATGGCATTGAAAGGGGTTGATGTAAATCTAATGGTTCCAACTTTTTTAAAATTGTTTATTGCAGAATAGTTCAGTTTTAGGCTCTGTCACTGGAGGAAGCAGGCTTCTTTTTGTAAAGTGTGAGAAGCAATAGGAACTCATAGGTGTCTGGGGAAAATATTAATAGCTTTGATTTCCATCAGCTTTTTAGGAGACTGCCATTCAAGCAGTAGACAGGGTGGACCCACAAGCATGTTGCATAAAATCTGTATTTAAGTTTTATTAAATCATCCCACTTTTCTGAGTCATACCACCTTTCTATCCATCTAGAAGATGACATGATCCAGTTTGGCTGAATAGTAGATAAGAATCTTGCTTGGGCAGTAACAAACCGTTGATGGAGCAATTTTTCCTATAAACACTAATGAATCATTCATAAGTAGCTCTGTGAAACAAGTGTTTGTCTGCCTTGTGCTTTAAGGAGCTGATCTACAGCTGTGTAGAAGTTATTGAACCTGAGATCTTACCTATGCACCCTGTTCCTCCTTTAAACAGTATAAATCACTGGATTAAAAGCTGCTCCATCTTAACTGCCATGTGTACTGGGAATCCTAGGGTAGAGGAACATACTTGTTTTCAACAGCCAGTGAAACTTGCTTTCATAGGCAATTGATAGATTGGCAAAGGATTGTCGAATGGTTTATCTTGGCATTGATCTCCCCCTAATTGCTGCCTTTCTGGATCTGAACAGTACAGTAATTTGTCAATTCAAACCAAGCTGTTTGCCTAGCCTAAAAGCAAGCACATGCCTAACCAAAAACTTGAAACAGTGGTCGTGTGCAACAACTAATAGCTGATACCTGTTAGGCATCCAGGACTACTTTTACATTTATTTCAGCTGCTACTGAAAATGTAGTGACCTGTGGAAGCTCATGGTGAAAGTGTCACTGCTGCCACTGGAGTTCTGGTTGAATAAAAGTCAGGCTGTCTATTTTTGCTCTTAAAATTGCAGACAAATGCTGCTATACTTGTCCAAGTTGGAAACGGCTGTATCTTGTACACGTCCCTAACTACTGACTCCCACATAGACAATGGAAACACATTGTTGAGACATGGAGGGAGCAGGAATTCTAGTGCTTACTAACTCTGAGATGACCTACTTCAGTCTTGCATTAAACTCTAAAGCCATTTGTACCCCAACACAACTGTGAACATTTTGCAACCCATAGCATGCTTGCACTTTTGGCTGTAAGTCTAGCCTGCAGAAAGGTAGGCAGATGCATGTGACCCAAGACTGGAGAAGATGGAAAAATGTGTGGAAACTAAGTTTTTTATTTCTTTTTGTTTCCCCCCCCCCCACAACTTTCATAGTACAACTGGACAAGAGTGTAGGTTGAGGTGTAACTTGTGTTGTAAATATAGGTTAAAAAAGTGTTGTCTCATAACTTATGAACATTAAGCTGGCATACATATGTAGGGGTTTGAATCAGGAGGAGCATATGAAGGGGTTTGAACGAGTGGTGCATGTCTTTCATTTGGAAGCCTTTAGAGTTAAATGAATCTTTGCTAGAGATCCTTGATCTTTGCAAGCAGGGAAGAATACCTCTAAGAAGAAGTCTTACCTGGACAAAGGGATACCAATTATTTCTCCTTTAGCCCTTAACATGGAAGATTTGGGTTGGGAGTGGGGTCCATCCATTATCTTGTCTAGAAAAAGGGTGGGGAGAAGATGGTGCTAACAATAGAAAACTGTTTCATTTTTGTTGGGATGATAAGCACTGGAGTTTTCTCTGGTGTTACTAATGTGGCCTTGAAAGACTTGAAACTGGTAATGTTAGTGCTTTGTTTGGCAGTCAGTGTAGAAACCTTTCTAATGCGTTTGACCTTATGAAGGGCTGAACAATCACTTGATGAAAACGGGGTTTCTCAGTCATTTGGAATGGCTCGTAGGCTTTCCATGTTTGCTTCAGCCTTAATGAGGACTTGAAAATCCTGTCCTTTGGGAGCAGCTTGGATTGGGATCTTTGAGACCTGAGGAAAGTTAAGATGTCTAAAGCCACCCTGGAAAAAGGCCGCTACTGATGAACAATTGGTGAAAGAGAAGGAAATCTCTACCTGGAAAAGTAGAAAGGCATTGACTCCTCAGGTTGATGACTTCCCTAAAGTAGAACTACTTAAATGATGGGGGCAAGGCTTCACAGCAGACATTTACATCTCTAACTTGGTGGCTACATACAAATATAAGCAGGCATCTAGCTACTTAATGGGTCCAGGAATGCCATCTTGCTTCTTGGCAGAGGCAACCAGGGAAAATTGGGTAGCTTGAAATAATGGGACGCCTTCTTATCTGAAGGCAGGTTCTAAGAATCGCTTGTCCTGGCCTGGATCTAGAGGACAAGTGGCTTGTATTCAAACACTACGAATGACACTCACTGTTAGAGGCCTGAGTTTAGGAAGCTGTCCTCTGTAGGTAATTTCTGGTTAAGCTGAGGGCAGTGGGGGAAATCTCTACATGTTACTCATGGGTTATCTTGAAATAATATTGGAACCTATAGGTATCAATCAATTTTGGCTTTTTTTTATAATAGTTACCTGCCTCTCACTACTCGCCAAGCTTTAAAGGAACAGTAGGAAATATGTATACACCTTGCTAAAAGAGGCAATGGTGTGTGAAGACACACAATTTGCAAGTCCGTGTCTGATCCCTAATGTAACACTTGGCAAAACGTGAAGCTTTTAGATATGTATGCACACGCAAACACCCTCACCTAATCTCTGCATGTCAAAACGCACCCTTTTTTTGAACACGCTTGAAATTGTGCAATTTCCCCTCCCTGCCATGAGGCTAAAGGCTGTGCAGGTTCTTCCAGTTGCTGTTCTGTAACCTCAAGGAGCTGAAAGATGCCTGCTTCTCCCCCCCCCCCCCCCCCC